AATTACAACAAAAAAAAAAAAAGAGAACAAATACAAATTTATATTATTGGATAATAAGATAAATAAGAATTGTTTGGGGTAAAACATAAATACGAAACTCTTCTTTATCTATCGGAGGAGTTTGTGCGTCGTGAAAACCGCAATATTTAAATATTATTAGTCTTCGTCAAACTTCATTCGGATCGTCACCGTTTTTGTTCTTACCCGATTCCGGCTCCGTTTCTCCCTCTGTCTGCGCGACGGTTTTCCACGCCGAGACAGAAATATCTGGTTCTGGACTTTTGTTTATTTATTCGATTAAAAAAAAAGGAGAAAATTGAAGTGGAATTGAAAACATGGAAGCAGTAGCAGAAGGACTGTGGGGGCTGGCGGACTACAACGAGAAGAAGGGGGAGATCGGGAAAGCCGTGAAATGTCTGGAAGCCATTTGCCAGTCTAATGTCTCTTTCTTTCCCATCATCGAGGTCAAGACTCGACTTCGCATCGCCACTCTTCTTCTCCGTCATTCCCATAATATCAGTCACGCCAAGTTCCATCTTGAGCGCTCTCAATTGCTTTTGAAGTCCATTCCTTCTTGCTTTGAACTCAAGTTCAGAACATTCAGTTTGCTCAGTCACTGCTACCATCTCCTCGGATCTATCCCTCCCCAGAAACAGATTCTTTACAAGGCTCTCGACCTTGCTTCTTCTGCCGGCCACGAGTACTCTCTTACCCTCTATCTCTCATTTTCTTCTTCTAATTCTCATTTGCTGCCATTTCCTTTAATTCCCCTTGTTTCTTTCAAGTGTTTCCGTCAAGCTGTGGGCTTGCAATTTCAATTCGCAGCTCGCCAATGCTTTGATCATCGAAGGAGACTTCCGCTCTTCAATCTCCGCTTTGGAATCTGGGTTTGTTTGTGCTACTCAATCTCTTATCCTGAGTTGCAGTAATTGAGAACAAAAAACCCTCTTCACTGTACGTTTTATTCCATATTGTTATTTTATTGGACTCTATGTCTCCTTGATTGTCTTTTGCCTCTCTCATTCTGTTCAGATGTTCTTCGCAACTTCATTGCTGCATGTACATCTCATGCAATGGACTGATGATAATTTAGTTGAGCGAGCTGTTAATCAATGCGATGAGGTCTGGCAAACTATTCCTCCAGACAGAGTAAGTTGACTTCTTCTTCATTACTCCATTTGCTTTGGGTTTCTTTTCTCCAGTAATCTCCATTTAGTTTTTTATCTTTTTCTCAAAACAGGAAAAAATAAAAAAGAATAATCTTTATCATCGTTCTTTTACTCTAGTTTGCATATATGCTGACCAGTGGACTTCTTTAGCCATATAAGTTACTCTCTTTATATTACATTTTGTCCGTCTAGAGGGGTCAATGCACGGGTTTGCTCTTCTACAGTGAGCTTCTGCACATCTTCTATAGACTAAGAATATGTGACTACAAGAATGCTCAGCAGCACGTGGACAAGTTAGATGCTGCTATGAAGGCTGACTTGCAAAAGATGAGGGAAGCACACCAACTAATGGATGAACTAAATTCCCTGAATCAAAGACTCTCCCAGTCTGACCTACCTTCCAAGGAGAGATACGCACTTTCCGCAAGATCAGCTCATATTCAGGACCGCCTTAGGAATTTGACTCCGCCCGCTAGCAACGATATTCTGGAACCTGCATATTTTGGAAATGCAAAGCGAGCATGGGCAGAGAAGCTTGTACTAGCACCGCCTCCTATTGATGGCGAGTGGCTACCAAAAAGTGCAGTCTATGCACTGGTTGATCTTATGGTGGTCATATTTGGGCGTCCTAAAGGGCTTTTTAAAGAGTGTGCTAAGCGGATTCAATCTGGAATG